TAGAAAAGCAAATGTCAGGTGCTTTTTGGTGAATGGAAAAGGAAAAAAGCAATTGTAAATACTATGCTTGTGACTCATTATTGGATTAAATAGTAAAAAATAAGTTAACTTCAACTCAGCTGTTCAAAAATTTTATAAATCCTCTGCATCTGCCATAGAAGGTTACCTTATGTTCTCAGTTAAAAGAGCTCACTGATTATAAAGGTCAATATTGATTAATGAATTTTTCAAGAAAAGTAATCCATCTTATGAAATACATTGAGCTATTTAAAATATGGCCTCATGTGATAAAAGATAGAAACTGTAAATGTTTTAGAATTCTGAAAATATGGTATGCTGCATTTGAGTTGGAGAAACTTGAAAAAATGGAGTCTTGTTCGTTGATTATTATGGGGGAACAAGATAAGAATCATTTTGGGTGGTACTATAATTATTAACTCTGTTTCTTCTTTACCTATACCTTACACCTACTAGAAAATTAAGATAACATATGTATCATTTAACTTAAAAGTATACATTTATATAGAGAACTTCATTTCCATAACTGCTAAGTGACCAAAAAGGGAGAAAATTTTGATCATTGCAATTAAAAGGAAGAGAAAAAAAAGAGAAAGAAGAGGAAAGTGAGCTTTCAGCAATTAGTGGAGAATCTAACATCTTTGATAGTGTTAAAATCTCAAAGCAGCTGGAGCCACAAAACAAGCAGCTGTTCAATATGCTCTATATGTTTGGAGGTGCATGCGTACATGCATACATAATATAAGTAAATCACAGGGCTTGAAATGAAAGCGTGAAAGAAATATGTCATTGAGAAGTCCTTGGCTTGAATTCTTATAATTAAAATGTGAAGATGCCCACAAAACACTGTTCTCTTGCAAATTTAGTTTCACACTCTTTTTAATGAAATAAAGTATGCATTGTATGGAACTAAAACTAAATAATGTGGTGTTCTAACAGTCAAGACATGAAATTCTTGTAGCAAATGGTAGGCTGCTTCACTAAGCTTTGTTTCTGTTCTTGCTGTGGCTCTTTGTTTTCTCAAATCTCTCTTCTGCTGTCACTAGCTGTAGTCTCTATTTTATACTAAACTTCATATAAGACCCTATGGAAGGTCAATGTCTAGAGCAAAACAATTAGTATGTTTTCTCCTTAAACCCAAATTTTTTATTGGTAAAATGAGGCAAAGTGGGCATCAAATATTGACTTGGTAGGTTGCCTTGCAGAACCTTTCCTATATATATCCAGCTGGGGTTGTGTTTTGGGTCAAGGAGTTGCAATCCATTTTCTACATGTGAGTTCTTCCTTTCTCTTTAGTGGGACTACCTATTTTACCAAACCTGACAAGAGACAATCTTCAATTGAACTTTCCCCTGTGGACAGCTCTATCTATCTTTTCTTTGCCATAAGGTTACAAATAACATTTCCTTACTATGGTGAAATGGATATTGGACAATGAGTTAGAGACCAGAGAATTCTTTTATTTATTTATTAGGAAAAGGTGTGCTTTTTGACAGCCAAAATCATTAGCAGGTAGAGCAGTATAAGAGAAATGGTTGTGTATGACCACTCTCCTCCCCTCATCTTTTCCTCTGAGAAACTTAACATAATGATTTTGGTACTTTTTCTTATTGCGTCTCAGAATTTTTCTCAAAATATTGTCCCAGAATGCCAACTTACCAGCAATCGTGGTTGGTTTATGACAGTGGTCAGCAAACTGCAGCTTGCGAGCCACATGCAGTTCTTTGGCCCCTTGAGTGTGGCTCTTCCACAAAATACCACGTGCGGGCACGCATGTACAGTGCAATTAAAACTTCGTGGCCCATGCACAGAAGTCGGTATTTTGTGGAAGAGCCACACTCAAGGGGTCAAAGAGCCACATGTGCCTCGTGAGCTGCAGTTTGCTGACCACTGGTATAGGAGATAAAGCTGATTTTGCATCCCTAGACTACATAATCTCTGAATTCCCTTTCAGATATAACATTGTATAGTTCTCTGATTGTAATTTTTAATGGCTCCTATTTTGAGTGTGTAGGCTGACACTCTATCCACTGAGCCAAACTGGTCAGGGCTATGGCTCCTATTTTGGTTGTATAGGAAAAATGTAGTTAGTTTTGCTAATGTATGTACTGGGATGAATAATATAAAATACTAGATAATCAAAAAATAATACATTTCTTATATAGTAGTAACTCTTTCTAGTATGTGTGTTGTTTGTGCTCTTATTCACAGAGGTTAACAGGAAGTAACATAATTGATTGAAGGGAATTATAGGTTATACTAGAGGCCTGGTGCACAAATTCGTGCACAGGTGGGGTCCCTCTGGGTGGCCTGCAGGGATCAGGCTGAAACCCACAGTCCAATGCCGCCTGCAGCTCCTACCTGCTGCTCCCACTCATCCTGGCCCCACTGTGCCTGCCTTGGGCTAGTGCCTAATCAGTGCCAACAGGGAGAGGCTCATGCTGCCGCAGCAGTGCTCACCAGCCATGAGCCCTCCATCTGGCTCCCTCCCAAGGTGGTGGCCTGCGGGATAGAGCTGAAACTGGCTCTCTGACATCCCCTGAGGGGTCCCAGATTGCGAGAGGGTGTAGGCTAGGCTGAGGGAACCCAATGGTGCACTATCGGGCCAGGGGGGGACCGCAGGAGGGCTCCAGGGAATGACCAGCCCATCTCACTCAGTCCTGATCAGCCAGACCCCAGCAGCGAGCTAACCTGCCGGTCGGAATATCTGCCACCTGGTGGCCAGTGCACATCATAGCGACTGGTTGACCAGTTGACTGTCTGCCCCTTGGTGGTCAGTGCACATCATAGCAACTGGTCGACCAGTTGACTATCTTCCCCCTGGTGGTCAGTGCATGTCATAGTGAGCAGTTGAGCAGCCTTAGTATATCATTAGCATATTACGCTTTGATTGGTTGTTTGGTCATTCTGCTGTTCGGTCGTTCTGCCGTTTGGTCTATTTGCACATTACCCTTTTATTATATAGGCTACTGCATCAAATTTATCTGCTACATGATTAACATATGACTCTGGAGTTAATCTTTCTAAATCTGAAGATTAACATAGATAATTTTCATATATTTTTACATGTGATAGAATATAATGTTAAACAGGTTTTTTTTATCTCAAACTTTTATATGTATAACTTTATATTTTTTGTGGTAGATTTATATTAAATGTTATATTTATATAATCATTATTTATTTATTTTGATTTTTTAGCAGAATTTTTTTTTTTCAGAGATAGAGAGAAATATAGATCAGTTGCCTCTGGTATGCACCCAACTGTAGTATATGCCCTGACTGGGAATGAAACCCAACCTTTTGGTGCATGGGGCGATGCTCTAACAAACTGAGCCTAACCTATCAGAGTTTAATTGCTATTAATTAGTGTAACCTAAAAATAGAATTCAACTGTTTATACATTAATAGTGTTCTCTTCTTTTTATTTTAAATGCTAAATGATCCAAGCTTTTAATCAAAATATTTTCTAAAAGTGAACTTCTACTTGCTTATATAATCAGTAAGGGTATTATTTACTATAATAATGAAACAATCTAGTAACCAGTGGTTTTGCATAAATTCATTGAAAGTAATAACTATAAATTTGTATTGCTCTCTGTGCTGATTTCATGGACATGAGTAGCTACTATGATTTTTAATAAAACTTTAACCTCAATCTGTTATGGTCTAGACTAGGATTCCTCTCTGGTGCTATTTTTCACATTTATTTAAAATCATATAACCTCTCTTATACTTGAAAATTATATCCCTAATAATTTTTAATTTATTTTGTATATATTAGTTTTCTTACCATTAATCATAATGAATTTGTTTGATGTTTATATGCATGCCATTAAGATAGTACTTCTAAACTTAGACTTTGTCAGCTTTCATTAACTGATCAATTTATTACATGTAGGTACTTATCATTTCAGTCTTCCTTTGAATTTTCAAGAACTGTGTAAAATAATTTATATTAAAGTCTGAATGTTTAGAATGTATGAATTAGAATGCCTAAAATCTAGAATAAAGACAGAGCCAATTATAATAAATAATCTTCTAAATGGAATTTATTTTGTCTTGATTCTTTCTGAATTACTTTTCTTTGTATTTATTTACTTTTTTATTTTTTCCTTTGTAATGTTTTTACTTTAAAGATTGGCATTCTGAGATATCACTTCTTATCTCTTTTTTCCCCATGTATGTTTTGTCTTTACATTTACTTATAATTTATATTTGTTTTAGTTTTATATATGTTTTGAAGTTAGCATATATTCATATATAGAATGGTTAAAATGAAATTAAATCAGAGAGCATACATCATATAGTAGAAATAAGAAATTATTCAGCTGGAAACCAGAATGATATTGTTGCTAAAATTTAGTATTTGATGTGACTATGTGTTTTCTAATTTGTTAAGAAAAAGAACAAAAGCATTGTCAATTTTCCAGTTTAGTAAAAGAGACAAAGTGTTATCAAAGTTTTAAATCCCAGCTGGCTCTGTTTTCTATGGCCAGAAATCATTACTCAAACCCTTCAACACCCCACTCCACTTCATTCATTCACCAGTTTACATATTATCTCCTTATTGAAAACATTATATTATGTATTCAGTAAGGCATTACCTTTTCTCTAATATACATTAATAATTATAAAAGCATAGAATGCCCATCATCTGAGAGGCAGATAACAGTCACTGAACTATATCTAACCCTGGCAATAATCCTGCAAGATTTATGCTATTTCATTCACTTTATGGATGATGCAACTGAGACCAAGAGAACCTAAGTAATTTGCACAGGCTAAATAACTAAAGGGCAGAATTTTTAAACTGTATTTCAATATCATTTTGTAATTTGAGGATCTCCTCAGTTAGAATGTTCCTTTAAAAAAAGTTTACATAGTTGTGTAATAGCTCATAAGCTTACTTCACTGCTTCTCAAAAAAAGAGAAAATATATGAAACTCATTGACAGTCCAATATTACTATGCTTTTTTGCAGCCTGTGAACTTATGAATCAAGGCATCTTGGCTCTGGTCAGCTCCATTGGCTGCACATCAGCAGGATCCCTCCAGTCTTTGGCAGATGCTATGCATATCCCCCACCTCTTCATCCAGCGAGCAACAGCTGGGACCCCAAGGAGTGGCTGTGGACTCACCCGGAGCAACAGGAATGATGACTACACACTCTCTGTTCGCCCACCTGTCTACTTAAATGAGGTTATCCTGAGAGTGATCACAGAATATGCCTGGCAGAAATTCATCATATTCTATGACAGTGAATATGGTAAGTGTTTGAGATTTGTGTGATTTTTGTAAGTGATATTTTCATGGCAAGCAACTTTATTAAATCTTGAAAAATTTTAAGGAGCTTACTTATTATCATTTGTGGTTTTTTTGTCCTGTCAGATTCTTCTAATAAATCTAGCAGCAACAACAAAAATTTTAAGGAAAAGTTTAATCATTTCTATTAAATCCCTTTGAAGTCAAATGCTGTATAATAAAAGCCTAATATGCAAATTGTCCCCTCAACTGGGAGTTTGACCAGGGGGCGGGGCTAGCCAGCCAACCACACATGGTCCCTCCCCCTTGCTGGCCCCGCCCCAGCCAGCAGTGGCCACAGACAGCTAAGGGAAGGGAGACCCCAGCTGGCAGCCGGCAGCCACTAGGGACCCTACCTATGCACAAATTTTGTGCACTGAGCCTCTAGTTTTAATATAAATTCCTGTACCAAATGCTTTCAATACATATTTCCAAAAGAAATCTAACTCCAATGCATCTTCATTTTTCAAGTAATTGGAAGTCATAAAGACAATACTATATTTTCCCCTTTCAAAAACATTTATATCTCTATCCTATATAATAAAGAGGTAATATGCAAATTAACCCTCATGCCCTCACAAAATGGCTGCCTATGATGAGGCCAGCAGTGGGTTAGTGAGGGACGACAAACAACTGAACAAGCAGTCTGTGTGGGGCAACTAGGCCAGCAGGGGGTTAGTGAGGATGACCAAACAACTGAACAGCAAGCTGTGTGGGGTGACCAGGCCCGCGGGGGGGGCATGAGGGGTGACCAGGCTGGTGGGGGGGGGGCAGTTGGGGGGAACCAGGCCGGCAGCGGGGCCAGTTAGGGATGACCAGGCAGGCAGGCAGGTGAGTGATTGATTAGGAGCCAGCGGCCCAGGATTGTGAGAGGGATGTCTGACTGCCAGTTTAGGCTCGATCCCTGGGACATCCCCCAATGGGTCCCGGATTGGAGAGGGTGCAGGCTGGGCTGATGAGACCCCTTCCTCCCCTTGCCCCACACAAATTTCGTGCACTGGGCCTCTAGTTTAATAATAAAAGACCATTTTGGACAGATCTTGGAACACTGAAAAAATGCTTATTTCTATTTATTGGTTCCAAGAATCTGACATATCATGCTTACCCCCTTATGAAGACTTCAATAACTACTTAGTACTTAACTCTTTGGAGGCCACTAAAATTATGTTACTGAAAGTTAGCATGGCATATTGTCTACAATATGAAGTCTCACAAAATATTGAGTAGCATGAGACTTTTTATTTAACTTTCCAAGGTAAAACAAAAAGCATTTTTCATAAATTTACCATTATTGGCAAAGATGCTTTGTCTAGGAATTTTTTACTTGCATTTAATTAAGCAAAAATGATATTGTTTTTGATTATTTTATTTTTCTGAAGTAATCTACTTGTTTTCTAACTGATCCCAGAGATAGTTTCTCTCTTTTTTTTCTCATTGGGGGAATAAAGATAGATATAATCAAATGAGAGAGATAAACAGAGATTGGTAAGGAATACATATTTTGAAATACGTGTTTCCTCAGATATTTGCCTTAAGAGGGACTCTCAGAACAAGTTTTACATCCACTATGGATGTGTCTAGTTTTTACAGTTGTATAAAACAAACAAATAACAAAAACAGCAAGATAATTTTACCTCCCGGAGTGCAACTTATTTTCCTTAGCAAATAAATAAACATTTTAAAAATAATGGTTTTCTTGTCTTAACCTACTCAGCATTGTCAACAATATTGGAAAACAGATATACAAGACTCAGCCAGAAAGAGGCATCGATAGAACAGAGCATAAAAAGGTTGGCAGAAATCTGGGGAGCAACAAATAAGAGATCCTGTGGACTTCCAGCGACCAAAGCAAGTGGTAGTTACATTTAGCCCTAAATATTCAAAGGTTGCCTGGGGTTTTGGCAGCCAGAGCCGCATTAAACTTAATGGGTAGATTTCAGCCAAAAGTCTGTGGCACTCTCCGGAAGCACCTCCTTTGTGTCCAGCACGGAAATTGTCCTTTTTGTTGCTTAATTCTAGTTATTTAGGGGTCACCAAAAAAGACCAAGAGACCGAAATGAATAAAATAAACAAAAATAAAATAAAAAATAATTGATTCATCAGTAAAAATAAGGATTGAACACACATTCAAGATTCATGGATAGGATTATTTACTGAGCATAGTAAATTCTACTAAAGGAACCAATAGGCTGCGTATGGGTCTGTCAGTTTTCTTCAATCAGATTATGTATGATTTTTATAACCATAAATAGCATTCTTATGACCTCTGCTGAAACATAATTTGAAATAACAAATTTAAACCCTAAATCTTTCTTTAAGGTGAGAAAAGACTTTTTAGTTAGTCCTATCAAAATAGTCCTGTAATATACGGAACAGAAAAGTGATTTTTGGATAAAGGCATTTTCATAACATTGAAGTGAGGATTTTACTCCTTAATATAACTGTCCATGCAGAAATCCTTTGTCATCTTGTTTCTAAGTCCTACATGGGCTACATTAGGAAATTAAAATAATACATTTTTATTATTAATGAGGCAAATATTTTTGCAAATGCACTCTAAATTTGTAGTCACATAGAATCATTTACATTCATTTGAAATTCCTCATTTTCTTTCCCTCTGTTTTCCTTTTAGCATATAAGATGCTATAAGCTCTGTGTATGACTGGGTCCCCTTAATGCCCATGGATGACACTCCTCTGTCCTTTGGGGGAGTGAGGAGTATCACTGATAGAAGCAGGGTTTTAGGAATAATAATTTTAAAAAAGCATTTTTCTTTAATTTGATGAAAAACTTGCTTCTGACTTATTATTTAATTTAATAATTTATTAAAATTACATTGCTTGTATCCTTAAAAATGTCTCCAGTAATACTCTTGTTAGTGAAAGAAAATTTCCCTTTGATACTTACAATAAATCTTGCTAGTAAAGAACTGGGCAAGAGTCCAAAATAAACATCAATCTATCCAAATACCTTGTACCTTGAAGAGGGTTATGTTTATTTACATATCCATTCATCAGTGCCCTCATTTTAAGTTCAAACATTGGATTTGCACTTGACTTTTATCTTGGTTATTAGGAATTGCTTTCATTAATGAATGGATTAAGCATCATCTATGGATGGAATCAGGCAGCCTGCAGGAGCCAAATGTTATTGAAGATATATTTTGCTTAGAGAAATATACTTTAAAAAAATGATTAAGCTTCTATATCCAGTTAATTAGAGAAACACTTTTTCAAAAACAGTTAATTATCATTAAGGGCACAGTATAAAAGTCTACTTTAAATTCCCTAACAAAGAAGAATCAAGTCTTTGATTCAAAGTAAATGCATGAAAAGAGAATAGAAATGTGGACACTTTATTTGAATGGATTGATTCAAAACATTTTCTAAAAGGCTTGGAAAGAGTTTAGCAAGTGTTGAGCTTTTAAAAATGTGTCATTCAGCAAATGTTCATTGCTCATTTGCTTAGAGCAATGTAAAATGTGAGATAAAAAAGTTTTACAGAATGTAGTCTTAGCCTTTAAGAAGCTTACAATTAAAAAAAATAAGAGGCAAAATATTTATATGACTCTCTTAATAGAGAAAGTAACGTAAGTATTATGACTGATGCAAACTAAATTCTAGTTGTGAGTGATAAAAGAAGTGTCTAACTTCAGCAGCAATAATCAAAAGCTGTATGGGTGGACTTTGACTTGATTGTTGCCTCTCAAAATCCTACAAGCTTTCACAAAGTATAGCTGATCCAATAGAAAATCTTGCAACAATAAAAATAATAAAAATAATATCTCTATATATTTTATTTGCCAGGAATTAGAATAAGTATTTTATATTATATAATTTACTCTCTTCTATATTTACTACCTAAATACCAAGGACAATTTCCCATTTTCATCGTAATGTGCTTTTCAGATATTCTACCTTTCTAAATTTCTTTATCCTTATCTATTCTCATTTTTCAGTATCAGTATATGAACTGACAAATTTACTCATTGCCACATGCACTTAGAGCCTTTGAGAGGCAAGACCTGTACAATTTTTAGCAAAATAAAAACACTTATACCTTGCTGTGTTTCCTTATAATTTCTGCAAGTTAAAAATTTTATGCTAACTCTTTATTCTATTACTCATTATATTGCCCTACCTTTTTAATTCTGCATCATTCTTAATTTGCTTAGCTTTTAACCAAATCTCTGAGAGGAAGTTTGGTCAAGTAGGGGGAATAAGATACTCAGGAAGAGTTATTAAAAGCAATTGGCAGTAATCTAGGCAGGCTCACTGTCAGAGATGTCTATGCAAGTAATTAATTGAATATACCAGTGAATGGCTAGATTTCAGAATCAGGGAACTAACAATATACAGAAACCAGAAACTTATAGGAGTAGGTGGTCCTTAAAATAGAATCAAAGCAGATAGATTGCGTTAGTGGGAGGATTCTATTCTGAAAGTATTGATAAGGCAAAAGTTTAATTTCAGGCCTGGGAGAACTGAATAGAACTGATTTACTTGAGTGATATAAGCAACAAGGTTGAAGTACTCTTTATCAAATGAGCTATTTGGGTTCTTTCGTTTCCTTTGCCTGAAACAATATTGATCCCAGCCTGATATTGTCATGGATATATTGGTAGGTGCATTTTAATGGATCTAGTTATGGAGACTGGAAGGATAATATGGATAATAATAATAATGGATCTAAGGAGCTTGTTATGGTAATGACATAGAGACATGAACTTGAAAGTAGTGAGATACCCACTTACCTACCTTCATCTCTACTTCAGTTCAACTATTGGCTTTATTCTTAGGCAAGACAGATGGCACTGGTTACTCCCAGCATATCCTTACAGGTTATTATACTAAACAACGATCCTTCCCCTTCTTTGTCTGTTTATCAAATATAATTTATATGGAAATATATCCGTATATCAAGTCTCAGGCCCTGTTTGGGTCCTATGCTAATCCCTGAACCAAA